CTCAAAACATTTTTACTTTATTAAAAGAAAAAAGAGGAAAACATTGATTGAAGGTAATAATTCATAGTTGATTATGTTAGAATAATTTTATTTTTGATTTCTAAACATGAGATTAACCCAGATTACTTGAATAAGAAATAAATAGAACAAATTAAATATAATAAAGAAAATCAAAAATAATATTTATTATTGTGTACGCATATATACGTATATGTTATTGTTGAAGATTACAAAATGATAATTTTATTCACTTTTCATCAATAAGGTTTATAAATATTTTTTAATTCTTTATTAATAGAAATTCATTTTTTTTTAACTTGATTTAATTTTAAAGCTGGTTATAAGTTCCTCACGCTTCTCTCCTCCTGCATCTTCTCCTCTCTTCTCTATTGCCTTCGATGGTATAGTAGGGAGGTATCCAAACCCATTATTCCAACTAAGATAAACGAAGAGTAGAAAGCTATTCATGGAAATACCAGAACTAACTATTAGTATTTATTAATACTAATTAGAAAGATCTCACGTTACTTCAAATGTGCATTTTACAAATTATAAGGAATGAACAAAAATTTTCAAAAATATTACAATCTTTAAATTGAAAGTAGAAATCAATAATTATGCTTTATAGTTGATAAAAAAGAAGAATGAATTAATTAATCATAAGACTCAAATGATTTAGAAATTAAAATATTCATATAACAAATAAGGTTATTTATTTTAATAAATAACAATCAATGCAAATTTTTAATTGATTTTTCTAAAGCATATTTTATATCAAGTTTAATCATTTTAAATGTGCACAAAGTCTGGACTAATTTTACAGAAATGCCCAAGATACTTTTCTCGATATTGCAGTAGATAACCTAAAGTTAGAGTAATAACAATTCAATATTAAAAATAAAAAAGAAAATGAAAGGCTCTTTTTAAGTGTAGGAAGCTCTAGCTGAAATTTTTTATTAAGTAAAAGATATAAACGAACACATATTCGCTGTCATATTAGAAATATTTAGAAAGGAAAAAGTTTATGATTGCATTGGATTTCTATCATATATTTAGAATCAGACACAATTAGAATCATAAATCTTACTAAAAATATAGAATTTCCTCCAAGCTGATTAAGAATAGATATTGTCTGTTGTTAGAAATGATATGAAATAAATTATAGAAGTCTTAAAAAAATTAAAAGACCATGACTTCAATTATAAAGACTTTTCCTCTGAAAAAAATGAAGAATCTACATTAAGTCTAATAAATAGCATCAAGAATGATAAATTCATCATAGAATTTCTGTACTTTTTAGTCCATCTTACATCTATAGATAACACTCTAATATAATGTGGGTCTAATTCATTACATATATTAGTTGAGATGAAGGCTGACCTTAGATACAAAAATTTTGAAAATATTAAGATTTAAAATACTTCATTAGTAGGAGCTAATTTTTTTAAGTGTAATTT